ATTTGCACACAAACTGGAGCACCCGGGGTTAACCCAGCAACCTCCCAATCAGTCGGTGACCTGCTCTACCTGCTCTGAGCCACAGCCATCACATTTTACAGGTAAAAACCAGGTGTAAAAAAGAAAATAAAGTAATATTGAGTAAGTGAACTCACCCGTCTCCGACGACGACACACTTAATGGTCTGCATTGCGCTGCAGCAACTGGAGGAATGCTGTCAGCCCAGGAGCTCATTTCTTATCATGCTTCTTTGCGTTTACCTTGAAAGTCGGATGCTGGCGCTGGGCGTGTCGTCAGTGTTACAGTCAAAGCTAGGAAAACAGGTTTTTTGCTCCATGGTAAGGTGGAGCCCTCCATCCATCCATCACTAGTTGTGCGCTTAAAATATAACCATTGAAGCCCATATTCAGCAGCAGTGGTACTACAGAGAGTATTGCCATTTTAATATTGTTTGCATGCACTGTTGTCCATCTTGGGTTCTGAAGTTGAGAGAAATAGGACTTCTCCCACCTTCTTCCTTCTGCAGCTCCTTTTAGCGGTCTCCATTTGTTGCTCCTTCTAGACCTTCCATGCATCTTCTCTGCAGTCTTCCTCTTTTCCTCCTGCCTCTCAGCTCCACATTCAGAATCCTTTAACTTCTCTGACTTTCCAAGTGGAAATTCTGACTTGAGGGAAATTCCAGCTGAAATGTTGATTTGTAGTCCAGATAACTTGTATTTTATATCTATATATCTATCTATATATATATCTATATATATATCTATATATCTATATCTATATATATATATAGATATAGATATATAGATATATATATAGATATATATATAGATAGATATATAGATATAAAATACAAGTTATCTGGACTACAAATCAACATTTCAGCTGGAATTTCCCTCAAGTCAGAATTTCCACTTGGAAAGTCAGAGAAGTTAAAGGATTCTGAATGTGGAGCTGAGAGGCAGGAGGAAAAGAGGAAGACTGCAGAGAAGATGCATGGAAGGTCTAGAAGGAGCAACAAATGGAGACCGCTAAAAGGAGCTGCAGAAGGAAGAAGGTGGGAGAAGTCCTATTTCTCTCAACTTCAGAACCCAAGATGGACAACAGTGCATGCAAACAATATTAAAATGGCAATACTCTCTGTAGTACCACTGCTGCTGAATATGGGCTTCAATGGTTATATTTTAAGCGCACAACTAGTGATGGATGGATGGAGGGCTCCACCTTACCATGGAGCAAAAAACCTGTTTTCCTAGCTTTGACTGTAACACTGACGACACGCCCAGCGCCAGCATCCGACTTTCAAGGTAAACGCAAAGAAGCATGATAAGAAATGAGCTCCTGGGCTGACAGCATTCCTCCAGTTGCTGCAGCGCAATGCAGACCATTAAGTGTGTCGTCGTCGGAGACGGGTGAGTTCACTTACTCAATATTACTTTATTTTCTTTTTTACACCTGGTTTTTACCTGTAAAATGTGATGGCTGTGGCTCAGAGCAGGTAGAGCAGGTCACCGACTGATTGGGAGGTTGCTGGGTTAACCCCGGGTGCTCCAGTTTGTGTGCAAATACCCTTAGGCCAGATACAAAATCCAAGTTGCTCTCCGATGTGTCCACCTGAGTGTAAATGTTACACTGAAAGCACAGAAAAAGGTGTTTGTATGAATGAGTGAACAAGGCTTTGAGTGCTCAGAGGCAGTGAAGAGTCAGTCCATTTTCATTACATTAGCTAGATATTTAGGATTGTCATGCTACTACTAAAGTTTTCTGTTGTAGTGCAAGAAAGACAAAAAAAAATCACTACTTTTTGGCTGCCATGCTTCTGGTGACAAGTTTTTATTTATATTCTTCATATCTGGCTTTCAAGGCAATTCAGAAAAGAAAGATTTTTCTTATCCTGAGACAGGTGGGAAACTGGAAAAGGGGAGAACAAATAAAGGCAAAAAACCACACTGTCTACAACAGATGAAAAATATCTGAAAGTCATGGCCTTAAGACAGAAAAAACAAATCCAGCAAGGAGATGGGTCTGGCCCTTCAGCTGATCAGTTACTGTTTGCCAAAGCCGCATCAGACATAATCTTTTTCGCATGGTGGCTGTCAGTAATTTACACAAGAACTGGACTGTAAATCAGTCGCAACAGGTTCAGGTCATCAAATATTGGCTTTTGGGCTTGTACATTTGTGCATGTTTCAGTAAACTGTTGCTACATCCCATATTCATTTCAAACTATAAAGAAATGATTACTCAGGACTTTTGCACATTACTGTAACTGTGTTATGTTGTTATATTAACACTGTTTATTAAAATAACTGTATAACACGACTGATAACATCTACTCCCACATTAAAGTTACTGTGTTATGATTAGCTATAGCTGCTACTTTAATGCTAACATTTACTGATAGTTAAACAGCTAGCATTCACATGTGTACCAGATACTTCTGACAACTGTTGTGTTGTGATAAGTGTTGTTCAGTAATGTGGATGTCAGCTATTGTTCATATGTTCAGCTGCCAGTGAGGGGAGGGGCTGTGTGCCTGCCTAAATAGTTTTGGTAACCTGAGTCCAGTGTAACAAAGTTGATTGTCCATCAGTTCGGACACAGCATTGTTGTTGTTTTTTTGCCTTCTCTCAGTAAATGCTAATCCAGCTTCTTCTCACCTACAGAGAAGTAGGTAAGACCTGTCTGCTCATAAACTACACCACCAATGCCTTTCCTGGAGAGTACATCCCCACAGTGTGAGTATCTCACTTTGCAGTGCAGTGAGTATTTATTTATTTATTAAAGCAAGATTAGCAAACAGTGATCGGTCTCCACCCTCCTTTAAAATCAATGCATATGAAAATTTGGCTTGCAGAAGAGCTTACAATCACAGCAGTGGACTGTAACTAGACCAGAAATACATGTTACAGGATGTTATGAGGAAACCCTTCAGCCTATCTCATTCTGATCTTAGCTGTTACTGTAACTGTGGCATGAAGTCATTGATAAACAAGCTTCCGAGTGAGTGAAATTTAAGAGAGCAGTTGCCATAAAAGTCTACAATAAGGCAGATAAGATATCAACTTCCACTTCAGTTGTTTGTTTTTTTCAGTAGTTATATTTTGACAGTCTATATAAAGCCAGAAGGGTTTGGTTTATTTGCGCTTCATCACTTCTGTCAGGTTCGACAACTACTCCGCCAATCTTTTGTTCGATGGGAAGCCGGTGAGCCTGAACCTTTGGGATACAGCAGGACAAGAAGACTATGACAGACTCCGCCCCCTTTCCTACCCACAGACGGTACAACAACCACAAAAAGAAAGATCACACAATGTTGTGCTATACTTCACTTACATTACTGTGCAAAAGATTTGAGTCACTCCTTAGTTCTTTATATTTCACTTCCAACGAAGTAAGATGTTCCTATGATTTTTTTAAAAGTGGTCTTCAGCAGTAGTTCTCCATGCTTTCTGAAGGTCTTTAAGTTTTCCGTTGGACATTGGCAGCTTTTTCACTGATTTTCAAAATATAAAGAATTGAGGTTCTGACTGTTTTGCTTTCTTTGTCTTACCAGGACATTTTTCTCATCTGCTTTTCCCTCGTGTCTCCTGCGTCATTTGAAAATGTCCGTAATAAGGTGAGTAGTCGCTATATTATGGAAAGGTGGCTGCACAATGTCATCCTATTAAGGTTTTACTAATGAAGTACTGACAGTGTCAGTACTGTCATATCAATATCATGACATTTACTTATATTGTGCCTGTGCTGCAAAGCAAGCACAAGCTGCTGTGGATCAAGACCTAACCATAAATTCAAAGGAAAAATGTAACTATATGTCCCAAAGGATTCTATCATGATGGAAAGTAGAAACCGCAACTACAAATTAATTTTTATTAGTGAATATTGTCTCAGTTAATTTCTATTAAGTAGTGAGTTTTCATAAAACCAGAAAACGACAAGAAAGTGGAAAAGGGCGACAAAATATTTAGCATTTTTTTACTTTTAAAATGTGCCATCAAAATTAGGTTAGGCATATTTTCTCTTAATAAAAAAGTTTTTTTTTACTAAGTGTGATTACTCTGAAGTGTGACATATGCCAACTAAGCAGCCCACTGCAAGCAGCCAGGAGTAGCAGACTGGATCTCCAAGGTGGAAATCACTGCTGAGAACACAAATGGTCGTCTCACATTTGCCAAAAAGCATCTGGATGATCCCCAAGACCCACAGCATTTCATAAGAACACCATCATACCAACAGTCAAACATGGTGGTGCTAGTATGAGGGTCTGGGCTGCTTTGCTGCTTCAGGACCTGAACAACTTGTTGCAATTGATGGAACCATGAATTCCGCTTTCTACCAGAAAATCCTGAAGAATTTTTGGCCATCAGTTCATGCCCTGAGACTCAAGAGGTCTTGGATTATACAGAAGGGCGATGATCCAAAAAACACCAGCATGTCCACCTCTGTATGGCTCAAAGAAACAAAATTAAGATTTTGGAGTCAAAGTCTGGATTTCAACCTGACTGAGATGATTAGGTAACCTTAAACAGGGCTTTCATGCTTGCAAACCCTCCAGTGGGGCTGAATGAAAACAATTCGGCAGAGAAGAGTGGGTCAAAATTCCTCCACAGTGATGTGAAGTACTCATTGGCAGTTATTACAAATGCTTGATTGCAGTTCTTGCTGCCAAGGATGGCACTACCAGTTATTAGGTTTAGGGGCAATTGCTTTATCACAGTTATTTTAGATAATCTAATGTGTACCAATGCTGACCTATTGCTCTGGCTTTGGATTTCAAAGGTGTCTTACTCCCGTCTTCCCCCTTTAAAAGAAACTTCTTTTGTTTTTTATTTTTTAAATAATGTAGCAACTGTATGGCATTGTATGTTTGTAGCCAGGTAATAAGCATTATTTTGTAACATTTAGAGTTAAAGCCTTCAAACAACCAGTCGAACTCACATCCACACCTACAGCCAAATTAGATTCACCACTTAATCCAACATAAATGTCTTTGAGTTGTAGGAGGAAACCCTCAAAAGCACAGGGAGAACATACAAGCTCCATTTAGGAATGCTCCACATGATTCATTCACCAAAAATCAAAAGAATGACAATGCAAATAGGAAGTAGCTGCAGCTTCAATAAAATAAAGTGTTCAAGGTGGTGCAGGCCGAGCTGGGAAGTTAAACTCATAAACATTGTCTCTTTGCAGTGGATTCATGAGGTGAGACACCATTGTCAGAACACTCCCATAATCCTCGTGGGGACCAAAATGGATCTGAGAGATGACAAAGACGCTTTAGAGAAGCACAAGAAGGAGAAGAAGACTAATATCTCTCCCATTAACTACCCTGATGGACTGGCCCTGTCCAAAGAGATTGGTAATGGCTTCAGTTATCTCTAATACTTTTTCTTTTAAATCATCACGGAAGACGGCAGATTCCAGTAATAAACCTGGAATCTGGCTCTCTGTTTCCTGTCTTCAGGTTCTGTCAAGTACCTGGAGTGCTCAGCTTTGACTCAACGTGGCGTTAAAACTCTGTTTGATGAGGCCATCAGGATTGCCGTGTCCCCTCCACTTATCACCAAGAAGACAAAGAAGTGCCTTCTCCTCTAAGACTTCACTGAAACAGTGTATTTCAGATTCTGTCCTTCAATGTGTGCATCAGTTATACAGTTGTAAGGTCAATTTTAGGAGACATTGCTTCCTAAAAGTGTATACTGATTTTTGGTAGTAGAAATGTTTTCAAATAGACTGTACACATGCTGTATTTTAGCCGAAAAGAAATTCTTTGATCTGTTGTCTCTTTAAAACACAGCTGACAGTCTGCTGCTGTTTCCTGCTCAACCACATCAAGCATTTATAAGTTAAAAACGCCACTTTCTCTCTATGGAAGCAGGCGTGTCAACAAAGAGCTTGCACTTGAACTAACCACCTGTGAAGTTTGGAGTAACGTCTTTACTGGTAATTAATTATTTGCCTTAATGGTTCATGTTAATTCACTCCCATGAAGTAAATGAAGTCTGAAGCAGAGAGAAATGAATGTTGTATACGCTTAGCTTTATGAAGAAAAGCTATTGTGCTTTTTTGTTTTGTTTTTTAAAGCCAAGAAATTCCCCTAAAACAGGTTCTGTTTGTTTTCCTTTGAGCCAAAATGGCAAAAATGGCTGAAGTGTTGCTGACTCACTTATTCTTGTGAATCTTTCATTTATACCATACTGGAAAAATAAAGATTCACCATTATTCAAACATATTTTAATGTAAATGAAAATGTACATTTTTCTCCCGATCACTGATATAATTAGTTAGAGCAATAAAATAAGATTAGATGTACGTTTTGGGCAACATATTAAACCACAAGAATAACACTTAAAAATATATTTTGCATTATGCTTTTAGAAAAAATCAATTAATGACACTGTCTCAGAAATATCTTCATTAATATACACTCAACTGCTCATCAACACAAAATCTATCCAGACAGTCCTTACAGACAAATAAGCTCAAGACGACTTCCCTGAAGCTCAAACGGAGAATCAGAATAAGCAAGAAAACTGATTTACGTTACTTGTTTGAACCAGATTACTCTGCTTAAACTTCTTCCCTTGCAACCTGAAACCAGATAAGCAGTACATATCAAATGGATGGATGGATCCTGATGCTGCTGGTGGTGTGGGGGCAATTTTCTTCACACACCCGAGTACCAACACCACAGTCTACCTGAGTATTGTTGCTGACCAAGTCCACTTCTTTATGACCACAGCATACCCATCTTCCGACTGCTTCCAGCAGGATAACACACCTCGTCACAAAGCTCAAATCATCTCAAAGTAGTTTCTCAAACATGTCAGTGAGTTCACTGCACTTCAGTGCCCTCCACAGATCTCAGTTGAGTAGAGCACTTTTGGAATGTGGTAGAATGAGAGTCTCATCGTGGAGGTGCAGCCAACAGATCTGCAGCAACTGTGTGACAGTATCATATCAATATGGCTGAAATTCTCTGAGGAATGTTTGCAGTGCCTTGGTGAATCTGTGCAATGAAGAATTAAAGCAGTTCTACTGTGTAGATGGGCCAGTGATCATCAGTTTTTGACCATCAGAGATATAAAGAAATTTTGTAAACCTTTTGACTGACCCTAATGTTTTTTTGAGGGTTAAAGTTTGAGTTAGATTCGGGTTAAGGTAAGGGCTTGTCACCAATTTGTAACTGTTACAGTTGAGAATGAAAGTGGAGCACTAAATGTATTGAGCCCCACTCTTAAAAGAAACTGTCTGGGTGGCTGGTCTCAGACGATCTTGGAGGTGAACCTGCTGGATGTGGAGGTCCTGGGCTGGTGTGGTTACACGAGGTCTGCGATTGTGAGGCCGGTTGGATGTGCTGCCATATTCTCTGAAACGCCTGTGGAGACGGCTTATGGTTGAGAAATGAACATTCAATGCACGGGCGACAGATCTGGTTGACATTCCTGCTGTCAGCATGCCAATTGCACGCTCCCTCATTGCTTGTGGCATCTGTGGCATTTTGCTGTGAGACAAAACTGCACATTCCAGGGTGGCCTTTTGTTGTGGGCAGTCTGAGGTACACCTGTGCACTACTCATGATGTCAGATCAGCATCCTGATGTGGCACACCTGTGAGGTGGGATGGATTATCTCAATATAGCAGATGTGTCCACTACCACACATTTGGACTGATTTGTGACCACTGTTTGGGAGGGATGGTTATATTGTGTATCTGGAATGAATTTTAGGTCTCTACGTCCATCCCATGGGGAATGGGAGCAGTAACAAAGGTGTTGCGTTTATATTTTTGTTGAGTGTAACTAGTCACAGAACTGATAACTCTGAAGAAAAGAAGGATACTAAAACTACAAAAGCAATCTAGGGAGTTACCCATGTACTGCATATGACAGCAACAACTGGTTTTATCCATTGTTGGCTAGCTGCACTGAAACAGGAGAATCCACCTGTCAGTGGGAGTTTTGTAGAACTATAAATGAGGACTGTGTTGGGGAAAGCCTCTTTGGTGCATTTGTGGCTCACTGGAGTCAGACACTGTCCCCTTTGTGTTTGATATTTTCTTGTGGGGATGGGTTGACAGACATAGCGGTGCAATCAGCTGGTAGAGCAGAGCTCCACAAAATATGATCACAACTATTTTGTGCCATTTTACAGTGTAATTTAACCCACAATTATCACTGTTCAGTTATTCTTTTAACAAACACTTCCAAACTGTTTACAAAAGGTTACAAGGAAGTTTCCAAATAAAGTGGACTCAATGTAACTATAATATCTATGACATCGATGTAGTCAAAAGATCAAATCTGCACACACGCACACAGAGTGGAGCAGTCACGTTGGGGAAAACCTAGAAGGAAAAAAAACAACTTTTAGCTTAAAAATAGAACTTCTAATCTCAAGCTCAGTCCTGCACTTGTACTCCATACATACACTGTGAGGTTTTGGACGAGATGAGTGAAAAACAATTCCTGGGAATTATTAGTGGGACATGAAAAATCCTGTCTGAAGCTCTCAGGAAAAGGGGCCTGTTCAAAACAATTAATGAGCTTGACCCTTCTAAGGGTTTGAAATACAGTTAAGTACGGGCAAAGGATGAATGCTGCACACAAGTGATGCTGACTGAGCACAAAAACAGAAGAGACAACATGAGAGAAGCAGCGAACAAAAAATGATGTAATCCGTTTTACTTAAAGGTGACACAGTTTCAAGCTTTGACAGGCGGGACATTATTTGATTTTGGAAAACTGACCTTCAAGTTTCAAACAGGATGTTGGGAAATCTCATTTATTTGTAACAAAGCATTTTGTTTCCTGAAAACACTCAGCACAGAGGCAATGATTGCCATTAGGTTGTGAACTCCATGTAGACAAGGAATCTCATATGTGATGCCAAGAAATTTAAATAAATCTTATTACAAGATAAACCAAAACTTGACAACGTCTCGTCATCACAGGTCATTAGTAGCACATTTGGCACAGAATCTGCACTTGAATACTTAAATTAGTCCATTCAGTCTTTTTATAAACACTTTTCATTCCGTTCATAAATTTCTCATCGTCCGTCAGCGCCTGACGTCAGCCTCACGAATCCACAGATCGCAACAGGGTCCCTGAAGTTGTCGGTATGCTGGAAAGAAAGAAAGCATTCATTAAAATCAGTGGGATCAGACGAAAACATGACTCGAGTTAGGCGGAAAACAAGTCAGATTGTTTTGGACGTTAAAGAAAAGGAACCACACTTCAAGACAGACGTAATTTTAAAGATCAAGAGTTGTTAAAACTGTTTGACAGTAACACGCACACATTAGTGACCATAAAGACTAATAATCCTGTAAATAGACCAAATGGGAAAAAGGGAACCTTTGGGAAAGTAAGGCAGAACACCATCATACATTTTGGATCTGTTACTACCAAACACCAAATCTTTCTAGAAAAGTGAAATTGGAAATGTCAGATGATGCCATTTGTTGGTACATCACAAAGAACTTCATCTGATTAGAGTAGTTTCGTGATAATAAAACTACACATTAAATGTAATATGAGGTGATCCATTTATAAGAGGTTAACACATGAAAGTGTTATAAACTTAAACTCCTGTCTTTGAATTGTTTTTTCTACAGCCCTTTAAATTTGGCCTGTATAAGCTATACTAGCAAATTTTTAAGCTAATTATCGCTCAACTGAATGTGAGATTATTTTGAAATTCCACATTGCTGAAGTCATAGTACCAGATACTTGACCTAAAAAAGTTTTGAAAGACACAGGTCTAGTCTCCCTGGACTTTTTTCAGAGAAATCAAAGATGGTCGGATTGGGAATTTTTCTTAAATTTAGTCCAGTTACTGAAATACGATTGAGAGCAGCTGTATTTAATGCCTTAACAGGTGGTTAAACTGACCTACTAAGATAAAGGTAAGGAAAGGAGGTAAAAAGCATCCAGTCGTATTACCTCTCTACCAGCTCTGCGCCAACAATGTCATGAATGTGGTATTTCATATGGAATTTCACTTGTGAATTCGTCCGCCGCTCCTCGATTTCTGCCTTTAAGACTTCGCCGTATTTGGACTTCTTAACCATGCTGAGCACTGCTTTACGGCCTAACGGCAAAATGAGAACAAAGACATTAATGGGTGTCGTAACTAAAGGAAATCGCTGTTACGATTCAATCAAGTGAGATTCAACACCAACCTTTTATGAAGTACTTTGTGAATTTGCCAGAGTTGGGAATGGAAAGCCACCAGCTGCCTGCATCCCTCACAGTCAGGACCCCAGACTTAACCAGCTGCCTGTGTGTGGGGAGAAAACAGATTCTGAGTTGATCTTTATCTTTCAGAATGGCCAAGTCAGAGGTTACACATTCATTCAATAATGCCAAGCACAAAGTTATGGAAATCGGTATAAACAGCTTTAATGCCACAGAAAATGTTATTCTCTGCTACCCCTTTAAATAAATGTCAAACTCTTTCAGTCATTGTCAGCAGTGTTGCTTTGCTTTTTATTTATCTAGGAAGTTAAATGTTAAACTATGTCCAAGATAGAAAGTTTGGGAATGATAAAGCTAAATAATAAACGCATGCAATATATGGGTGTCTTTCATACGTTATCTCAGAGTCTGTGAAGAGAAACTCCTTCAGCATTTTGTCTTTCGTGAAGCTCAGATCTGTGCAAGCGGACACCACTTTCTCCAAAAACCTCTCCACGGTGGCTCTTGTGGTTTTGCCCTCCTCTCCCACCAGCACTTTGGCCTTGTAGTCAGAAGTAAAAACCAACCCAAAGGCTTCTGCGTCGAACCCGAGCTGGAACATCAGCAGATCTCCTCGTTCACGCATCTTATTCTGTTACCGATGACAGCAACGAGTTGTATTTCACATCTGAATCTGCAGAAATGATTACACAAACATTTCTAACACTTAAAATCCACCTTACCACCTCCTTGTCCACCAAAGTCTTGTCACTGTGTATGCTGTAGAGCTGGTGCTTCAGCACAATTTGAGGCAGTGCATCATTGAAGAGCTTTCTGGGAAATAGGGTCATGAGGTACTCCAGACTGGATTTAATGTCAGCTGGTCCTTTTAAAGTGAAGAAATGACAGTGTGAACTTCAAATGAAGAGCTTTTTGATCACGTTATTGTAGATTTTTTAGGACTCACACCCACCATCTTCAGCAGCAGTAGCTCCAAATTGTTCTGTGCCATTTCTTCTCTTCTTCAGATTGAAAGCGTCTGAAATCAGAGCCCGTTTCCTGCTCATACCTGAAGGAGAAATTTGCACCTGTTCACTCCAAGATGCTGCTTTCCTCGCTACACAACGTAGAGCCTATTAAAAGACCTTTAAATGGTCAATCATATCATTATTTCCTACTAATTAAGAATAATGCCCCACAGTCAAGATCCACTCCTTTGCCAATTTCTGATGAATGAATTATAAGACATAATCTCATATATTCCATAAATGTACCCTCAGTTTTGTTAGGTTAAAAACACTACACCGTTAGCCATGCTAACGCTAGCTCGTTTATCAACATTAGACCGAGCTATTTGAACTCGAAAATAATTTTCGTCCTTACCTGATGAATAAACCCAATAATGTGTTTTTACATCACTTTATTCTCTGTCAGAGCCACAAACCAGCCCAACAGCTACAGGGAACTGCTGCAACTCTTCTTTTCACGGATATTTACAGTGTTTTTAGAGGAAGTGTCGCCGCTACCAACGAGCAGCGGATTGGATGGAAAACTGCACACGGAAGTGGCGTTAGCTTGTTGTTAGCGTGTGAGACTAGTTAGCTGTCCCGCTACAAAAACAAGGCAGCGTTTTTCTAACTCAGCTACTTCTTGGTTTTAGTCGGTAAAGATGCAACAAACGTATGTTTGTTGTTCCTGTACCAAGCCTGTTATTTTATTTCCTCTGACATAATATAAACAGGGAACTTCTAACGTTAGCTTAGCAACCTCTGCTCGCTGTGCTGTAAAGAGGTAGGTTATCACTTACTTACGTCTTATTTATTCATGAAAGTACTCTTTAGTTTTCGTAGCGGGGTTAGTAACAGCGGTATTAGGAAACCTTTGTTAATTTTAAACATGCATTTAATTGAGAAACAGTGCAGACACACGCCAGACATTACCTGCCTCTTTTCCATTCAACATTCAATACATAAACTGTTATAAGCACATCAGGCGGTTCTAGGTCCAGACATGCTGCATTTAAACTTAAACTAATTCATTGTTTGTGCACAATTTGTTACAGAGAGGAAAGAACACATTTCTAATTTTAAATATGCAGCACTGTGCAAAAGTCTTCAGCCACCCCATCATGTCTTCATATTTTGGTAGGAAAATGTGGAACCGGTGCAGCGATTTATCAAAACATGTTCAAGCATACAAGAGTATAAAGTATATAAGGCAAAAACAACTTTGTACAGTTCTAACGATCTTGAAAGCCAATATTTGGTTTGACTACATTTATTCTTCAACGCAGCCTGAACTCTGTTAGCAAAGCTTTCCTGTCACTTCTTTAAGCAGTCTTCAGGAATAGTTTTCCAGGCTTCTTGAAGGACATCCAAAGCTCTTCTTTGGATGTTGGATGCAAACCGATTATAAGGACACAGCTTATAATCGGTTCTTTGCAAAGTTGCCTGTTATATTTTTAAAAGTTAGCTAAAGAATATGCACATATGCATTAACCCTAACCTAACTTATCCCTGAAAAAATTGCACTTAAAGAACAAAAACTCATAAATTCTTTCTGTCCAGCTATGGACCCCCACAGATCCAGCATCAGCTGTCACAGCCATCAGTCCTCGTACAAAAGACAAAGAGACGACAGTGGCAGAAGTCCTCGTGAGAATAAACACTTCAGAACGAACACACAGCACCAGTATCGGTCTGAGTCGGCTCTGGGTCAAAACCCTTTGAGCTGCAGGACTTTAAGCACGAGAAGAGAGCTTTATGAAAGAGACTTTCCTGTTTACAAACAGCCTGTGGAAGTGGGATGTTTTTCCCTCGACTCTGAGCGTAGATTCTTCAACGACAGCAGGCAGATGAGGTACTACGTGGAGCCTGACAGGAATCCAAATTTCAACCTGAGGGATGGATACAGGGATCGCTTTATAAAAAGAGACGACAGTGTGAAGGAGAGGCTGGACCATATTCTCCGGTGGATTGTAGCCAATAAATCAAAGATTAACCCAACAGGGGCAGCAGCCTCACCTCGGTAAGTGTAGCTGTGAGGTTCCTGTTTTTATTGTATTTCTCTTCAGGTGATCAAGTAGGTCCCACACAGAGAGAGAGAGATAAACATTATTGATCTCTAACCACAACAGTTCCTACTGGACATGTATTCTTTGATCAACCTCTACTCTTTCCAGCGCTTTAGATGTCGACTTTGTGACATGGCGGGGCCACCTAACTAAGCTGCTGACCACTCCTTATGAGACAAGGGAAGGCTGGTTGTTAGCAGTCACCAGGTTCAGGGGCACATTTTACATCAGTGAGGTGGAAACGGAAGCTGCTCACAGGGAACGGGAGAACCGCACCGAGAGGCATGAAGAGATGATGTACTGGGGATACAAGTTTGAGCAATACACATGTGCAGGTAGGTGGGTTTATGTAGCAGTAAACAAGTACCTTATTTTTCCTTTTTTTTTTTTCTTTTTTTTTTTTGAAACTTTGGGTACTGATTTAAACTGCCTTACCCACAGCTGATGATTCACAGGCATACCTCATAATCAACTGGTTTTATATTCAATCCATTTGTGCCTGGGAAGCACAACATGTGAGATTTCCACTATGGGGAAAAATGCTAATGGTATAATAAAAAACCCCAAACAAAAACAGTACTTTTGCCTCACAAAAAGAAGGTGCAGGTTTGATTTCACCGGCTGTTTTCGTGTGAGCTTTGCTGCCTGTGTGGGTTCTCTCCAGGCACACTTGTTGGGTAATTGGTGTGGAGTCTGTTTCTGTGTTAATGCTGCAATAGACTGGCAGCCTGTCCAGGTTGTACCTCACCTTTTACCATTTCACACTTGGGTAACGGTTTCTGAAACTGCTAATTTACTGGGATTTTCCCACATAACCATCTCTAGGGTTTACAGAGACCGGTTTGAAAAGAGGAAACATCCAGTCAGTGGCAGTTCTCAGGGTGAAAATTCCTCATTGGTACCAAAGATCAAAGAGAGACTGCTTGGAACTGATAGGAAGGCAAGAGTAACTCAAACAACCACTTAGTACAATCGAGGTAATCAGAAGACCACACCAGGTGCAACTCCTGTCAGCTAAGAAAAGGAAACTGAAGCTATAATTCATCCAAGCTCAACAAAACTGGACAATAGAAGACTAGAAAAATGTTGCCTGGCTGATGATTCTTGGTTTGTGCTGCACTGGTAATGGCAGAATTGGGGATAAACAACAGGAAAACACAGATCCATGCTGCTTTGTGTCAGCAGTCCAGGCTGCTGGGTCCCTTAGTACCAGTTGAGCATCATTTACATGACACAGCCTGAGTATTGTTGCTGATTATGTTCATCCCTTTATGACCACAGTGCCTATCTTTTGATGGCCGCTTCCAGCAGCTGTCCTTTTAAAAAGTTATCTTCATGTAATTGAAGAACTCGAGTAACAGCAAAGACTCGTAAATGCAGTATGATTGTTGATCTTACCACGATTAATTAAAATTACTACACTCTATAAAAATGTAATGTGATTATTATAATGCCCAACACTGACTTCAAATCATTATTTTTTCTGTACATATCCGTGTGTCCATTATATTAGATATGAAAACTAAACCTAGCACAGTGCTTTCAGTGGTAAAGTTTCACCTTTGTCTCTCCTGTAGACAATACCCACAGTCTACCTGACCCTGGTGGAGTGGTTAACACCAACGAGGCCTTCTGCACTGTGGTGCAAACTCGGCTCGCGGATCACAGACTGCTGTTCTCCGGCGAGGTGGACTGTCGGGATAAAGATCCCAAAGCTCCGGCTGCTCCTGCCTGTTACGTGGAGCTGAAGACCTCGGCAGAGATCTGCACCCCCAAACAGCGCAGCAACTTCCACAGGTACAGGATAAAGTAAAGCCTCATAATTTTCACGTTGTGTGGTTGGCTGGATGGTAACGCTTTTATTTTGGCGCTCCTCAGGTTCAAACTGCTTAAGTGGTGGGCCCAGTCTTTTCTCCCGGGAGTCCCTAGAGTGGTGGCAGGTTTCCGAGATCAGGAAGGGGTCGTCGTTTCCGTGGAGACCTTTCACATTTCTAAGATCTCCCATCTCATCAAGGTAAAGCAATAAATAACTCGTGATTTAAAAACATCTGGCAGCACACCATGAGCACACTTCATGAGCCTTCTGTACATCTTTTAAACAGAACGAGTACAACTGCTGGAAGCCGACAGTATGCATGAACTTTTGCTGCGATTTCCTGTCTTTTGTGAAGCGTGTAGTTACCGAAGACAGTCATAGGTGAGCTATAATAACACTTTTAAAATATTCTGGTTTGGGGTAAATACATGTTAATCTCTTTCTGTTGTCATTTCAGAGTGGTGTACCTGTTCTCCTGGGATCCCTACAAAGATGTCACCTACTCTGCCCACAGAGACTCTCAGTATTGCTTCCTGCCACACTGGTATGTTGAGGAGATGACGAGAAGTGAAGACTCCCAATATGAGCCTAAAGCATAATTTATACTTCTGCACTGAAGTCTGAAAGCCTGGAGTTGATTCATTCCCTTCCAGTCAATTAGAAGAGGAGGAAACAGGCCAATCACAGTTGTTTTGAGGAAGGGAGGTGCACGTCAGCATAGGATATTGTGACGTAAGATTTAACCCTACGTATCGCTCTGATAAACTGAATTGCAGAAGTATAAATTCCACCTGAGGCATGGTCACGAATGCATCATTATCCTGTAGACCTCCAGTGGAGGACATTTAACGTGGTAAACATTTGCATGAGCTCACCAATCACTACTCAGTCTTCTGGGGGGATTCTTTTATTTTTTTAAAGCAGTGATGAACTACATTTTATCTGGCATGTAATGATCTAAACAAAACACAATTAAAGAAATCCATATTGTTTCTCAATCTTTTTTTTTTTATTCCCTGGTTATAACAATAATTTACAACCCACAAACAGTGTTATGTTTATTTAAACAAAATTAGAAAATCTGTGTTGTGTTTTGTTTGTTATTGTAAATGAGTCAAGATGATATCAAATAAGAACTGGATGTAAACAAAGTTCATTTTGTAAAATATAAAAAACAAAATTGTAAAGCTTTAATCAAAAAAAAACAAAACAAAACAGTTGGAGCTGTTTTTCCTAACTGCTACCAAATATAAGTGACAACTGGCAGAGGAGCTGAAATCTGGTGAATGTGTCACTTGGCTAGAGTATTGATAGAACAACAAAAGGTCTAAAGGCTGCGGTGTTAAAGGGAAGCGCCTCTCTTGGTTATAACCAAGACGTAAAGAGAGAAAAACCAGTTTAACAACAACAGCAGCAGGAGGAGTGGATCAACTGTCAACCGGCATCAAGTTGAAAGGCAGCATTAACTGTCATTTACCACATCAGAGAGAGAGAGAAAGTACTGTGACAAATACTGTGAATCACTGCGATCCCCGACAAGTTTACACTACTCGCAGGGAACTGATAGACATAATGGAAGACATCTGTGTGAAAGAAAAAGAGCGCACGTCGAACACTGCGATATTGAAAACAGTAGAAAAAACTCAGTGCATCAAGTGTTTGTGTAGATCAACAGTCACTGAATAACTTACAAACGAGTGACAAAAAAAGAATTAAACCATCGACAAGCATCAAAATGAAAAAGTGCCAAAACCTGCAGCTCTTTAGAGTGAGACTGGCTTCAAAAGAGTCAAAACCCTATAACCTTTGATGTTAAAATGCCCAGCTTTACAACAAAAATAAATGTGTTTGCAACCTGATACAGTTTCTTTTTGTCTTTATAACCTGTTAGCCCCAGTCATAACTCCACATGGTTGCTTTCTTATATAAACTTTACAAAAGCTCAAAAGTAAAAGGTGTGGCTACGCTGACTTACAGGTACATGCCGACACAGATGTCTGCTCAGCTTAACCAGTTTTTGTAGCATTGGTGTCTTTTGTCGTGTAATAATCTCACCAGTAGTAAACTATCAAAGAAGCTTGTGTTCCAGTCTTGCCACAGAGTCATCCATAAATAGTCACTTCTGGCTCATAAACCCTCCAAAACTTGATAACAACAACATTTTAGCAGCCAAAACCTTAAAATGCAGAGTACAAAGCTAATCAGTAGTTGATAGTGGATCCATCCACGTTTTATATTCAGTCTATGGGGGAAACAAACCTCTAATTCCTGCAGTGAGGAAATATTATACTCTGACTGGTTTCATGAATCAGAAGCTACAGCTTTTGCAGTCACAAGATCACAAAACAAGCTAATTTGAGAGAAATTTGTGTGTAGGTGTTAGTTGGTGTACTCCACCACCAGCAACATAATGAGGGTGTGTCTTTTGGAAGAATACTGTTTATCTTTGTAGGTCCAAAGACTTGAAGAATACATGCTGAGGTGCACTGATGCTGTGGACGCACAACTAAGATTTTAGCTTGTTTTTTTCCTTTAATTTGTCACTCGTCTGCATGTCAGTTCATACAGTTTCTTTTTCATAATGCATTACAATCAGAGGCACTTGCTACCTACAACTACTGCAGCACATGCAGGCGCATATTCACTGTGCTTTTCCCTCAATTTATATTAAATTAATTTAATGAGGTTTCCATCTTGCAGGATTTCACAACTGGATAAATTCACAGTTAAAAGCTTAAGTGTATGTAAAGAATGGCCCAGTGGTTTAGATTAAGGCAGCAGTAAACTTATCATCACGTGCAATAAAGCTCAAATGTTAAGACAAAAGTCTTAAATTGAAATACACTTTTTCAAATTCATATGAAAATGTAAATGTAAAGACAAATATCATTCATCTCCTATAGTGAAATATGAAACTACAGCAGACTCATGACAAAAACTCGGACCAGGGGAAAGCAGCTAGTCTGGCCCATTGATTTGAACCAGTAATTTCTTAAAGAGCATGTATATTTCCACGAGAGCTGTATCAGTCTTTCAGTGCAGCCAACATCTCTCAGAAAGAGGCCAAACAGGTGTATTTGTGTTCTTTTGCCTTAACTGTTTTTTGTTTTTTTGTTTTTTTAAATCATCACCTGACAGAGTTTTATTTTTTAACAGTAGAAAGTTCAGCTCTTTGAAAGGTGTTCTTTTCAAACAGTTACTCAATACAGGACCTGTTTAACTCGCCTCACACTAGAAGATATTATACAGCAAACCAAACTAATAAATAATGTCTGTATGTTTTTCTTTGTCACATAAACTCAGTTAACTTTAGTCCCTGCAGGACCATGCTTAACCAAGAGAAATGCACCAGTGGAGAGGATGTGTATGCACAGATGTTCACAGTTAGAGGTTAACAATAGCAATAATTAAACCCCCCTCTGGTTTTGTTATATAATTTGGGAATGGAATAGGAATGTGGGGCTCCCAAAGCACCATTGCGGGCTCATATTATCGTGCCTATGCGACAGAAACAATTCATAATGTTAGTAATAGCATCAGCAGGCTTTAAAACCTACTGAGGATGAGTGCACTGATGGTTTGCTGTGTTCAGGTAGCAGTCTTCAGTGCTTCAGTTTCTTGTTCATCCCCATGAGTCTGAAGGTCACTGCAGCGATCTTCTCATACACAACAAACATGAGTGCAGCCGTCAGTACCGTCTGTAGCAGCTTGGCCTCCAGGCCTTTGTACAAACCGAGAGCACCGTGCTTCCTGCGATAAACACGGGTATACAACTGTGACCACTGCTACATATTCACACATGTGCTTGTTGTGAGTCGAGTGACTAGATAGTGTAATTTTAGAGATGCTGCACTCACTTGATCCGGTCCATGAGCAGGAACAAAATGTTAGAAAGGCTCCCCATCACACCACCACCCTCGGCGTCATTTTTATACTGGCCAAACTGATGAAAAAGCATAAAACAAGTGATGCATGTGTAGTAAAGATTCAATATCATTTACCAGTCATGCATATTTGCATCGAGTGTTTGATGGTATTAACCATATAAAGATGCTCTGGTTTCTCTAAATTTTTCTATTAATACACACTCACCGGCCACTTTGTTTAAACCGGTTCATCTGCTGATCAATAGAAATATCTAATCATCCAATCACATTGGAGCAACTCAGCTAATTTAGTGATATAGTGAAGTTGCTGCTGAGCATCAGAATGGGAAAGAAATGTGATATAAGTGAATGTAGCATGGTTTTTGGTAGCAGGCGTTCTTATCTACTGGGACCGGATCAGAAATTTTTTCCCCCTAATAAAGTTTCTGAGGAGTGTACACAAAATTAAGTCAAATTTACACAATGTTGTGTCCCAGACTCAGCCAGGAGTTCCACTTTAGTTTTTAGTTTTTGAGGAAACATCATTTTGCCCCTGTAAGAGTAATAGACTGCTTTTGGCACACATAAAATTACACAGATACAATTTGTAGTTGTTTTTGTCTGTTTACTGAATTTTCTGTCATTGCAAAAATGTTGAACTTCATCAGCCTAATCTTTGAAAAACAGAATACAGGAATAACATTTTCTGTATTAGAGTATTTACCCTCAGTATGGCCTGAACTGTCTGCAGAGGATACGTGGCAGTGGTAGCGATGGCCTTGGCAATGGCTCCAATGAGAAAAATCTTTGCTGAGGATATCTGTGGTAAAAGACAAAAGTTCACAGGTCAGGTGACTGATCGCTAGATTGGTCTAAACAGGGTCCCTCCTGATCACAGCCCTTCAGCTATGGAACGACAGGATGCTGACTGATTAGCTTCAATAAGGCAATATTGCATAAATCACTGGTTCTCTTTAAGTCTTCTTACCTTCCTCCCTCCTCTGCCTGCCTTCCTCTTCATGGCCTCATAAATCATGAACTGCACAGCAGGGTTGAGTACGAGGACGAGAGAGGGCAAAGTGCCGTTCCACAGAGTTCCCACCCCCTCGTTGGCTATGATCTGTGAGAAAGCATCTGAAAGAGAAGCAGTGAGGTTTGACAATCACACAGACACAAGACAAGCACGTCAGAAATCTTCACCTGTTTAACAGATATGAAGCGCTCACCAAATATGCCTCTGTAGTGAGTCTGGTGGAGGTCTTCGTTTCTGAACTTTACCCCCTGCATCTTCAGTCGAGTGTTGACCACCCACATGGGAGTGGTCAGGATCACATTCACCACTCCTACATGAACAAGAGATATTCAAGTTTCTAGAATCCACAAACCAGAGGATAACACCACCATCTTTTGCAAACAGTCTATGGGATACATGCATGCAAACGTTTCACACACAAATCCAGGATTCATCCATTCAATCCAGACATCTGTCACACAGTCACTCCCTCCACTTTTGAAAAGTTTGCCTTTTGTGCTACAGGCTTCTCTTTTAATTGGACACCTTGCATCCATTTAAGTCTTTCAGACAATTTCCATCAGGTCAGTACTTACCTGACACAATTCCAATGAGCAAGTCTTTCCCAGGTCTGGACTGGCCTGGACCAGATGCCATCAGCTTCTTCAGCGAGTTAAACGTGTAGAAGTAGACAAAATTGGAGCAGCAAAGGCTGGAGATAACTGGGAACCAGCCTCTGTACAGTGACAGACTGGGAGAGGTAGTGATGAGGCATTTGAGTACTGTGTTTTCAGTCATGTGGCCAAAACATCATCCTAAACCATGGATTAGATTACAGCTGCAGCTACCAATTATTTTCATTAACTGTTTATATCTGTGATTACCTTGTTTTGGTTCATAACATTTGGTTAAATTATAAATATGGTCAAATAAGAGTAAAACAAGGCTTAACTTGTGTAATTTCTAACCAGAAGCCTCAGTGATTTTAAATTCCAACACTATACGTACAAGCCTTCTTCCTTTGCTATCTCAGCCAGAATGACTGGAGTTGAGTTCGACTTTCTCTTCTCATCCACTGAAAAACAAACACAAATATGCCAGAAATCAGGCAATGAGTCTCTGGACAATGACTCGACACACAAAGATCAGTTTAACTGCATTATCTCAGCTTGTGGAATATAAAAGAGTGGAAGCAGAAAGGCATAACACACCTTTTTATGTCTCATATAGAGCTGAACATGAGCGTGCTTTGCAATAAAAAAAAAAAGACACATGAAACAACAAACAGAAATGGATTGTTTATGAGGTAAAATAAAAACTACATTTATCAGTGCGCTACTCTTTGGGATGCAGTTACGGTTGCTCTATAATGACCCCAGCGTTAAACCTCTTTCAACTCTGCAGCTTATCAGGTGACCTCTGTCCAAGATGATAAAGCCCCCCAGCTCACCCTGGAGTCTGCTTTTGGCCGTGTCCAGAGGAAAGAAGACGGTCATAGCTGTCACACTCCCCTAAAAAGACAATGCACTGCAACATTAACATCCATACTGACACCTGAAAACACAACATCTAACACCATTGTTCAGCTTAAAGTGGTTTCTTCAACACCATGCTATCTGCTATTAGAAGGATAATACCCCAACCCCCATAAAAAACAAATAAATAAGAAACAAAGCTACTCACCATTGCACCTGCCACAGCATGAACCAGCGTCTCATAGGATAGGAGGCCGACGGCCGAGCCACCGTTGTCGGACATCTCTGCAGGTTCTCCCCGGTCCAACCACACAAGCTAAACACCGGGAAGTAACTGCCGTGAACCCAATGGAAGATGTCCGGGTTTTCCGAACAGTGGAAACGTTTTAAACAATAATTATTCACAACTTCATGTTATAGGAAGCCGAAAAGCGACAAGAAACAGAAACCAAAGAAGAGAGTGAAAAACTGTCAGATTGGGTTCACTCTCTTCTGGTCGGGGGATAGTTCCTCCCAAGATGCCGCTGATTGGACAGGTTCTTCTTCTTCTTCTTTTGTTGACTCTTCTGCCGGTTCTTTCTTCTTCTTCTGTTTTTGGTAAATCATTAACTTTAGCATAGAATTTATTAGCCACCTACTGGACTGGAAGGAGAAGTGGTGGAAAAACTATATGGGATTTTACAGCACTTATTTGCGGCAGGTCACCACAGCATGTGTGATTTTCCAGATTTTTTCTGACACACCCCCAAAGGGACAGACTTAGATATCATAATCATCTAGATATGACAACACACGGTCTAAGAGACTTACACTAATGCTTTTTTAGTACACTTATGTAAAATACACATGCTGGACTGTATCTGGGCTTGTACGCATACACTTCTGTTTCATGTTACTTCACATCAACAGTTTCTCCAATTCATTTCATGGAGAAATTTCTCTTTATAACGCTAAGCTCTAAGGATGAGCTCCCATGATGAATATAATATCTTGTAAAAAGAAAACTATCCTGCAATATTATTTTGAACCTAAACAAGTAGCAAAATTAGAACATGTGACTAATCAGCCGTTTTTTAAAAAGTAAAGAAAACAACTGAATTGCATGTATAAAAAAAATGAACGTGTACCTTGATTAAATATATCCATCTTGCTAAAACAGTTTACAAACAAAACAATAAATGAATTTATCAAGAAAATAGATTAACACATGATTTAAAGAATCACAAGCTGTTTGCAATAATTAATAATAAAAAATACTTTATTTTTCCTGTTTTTTAGTACATTTGATACTTTAAGTATAGTGTGTTATTTTTACTTTTGCTGTAATTAATGACCCAATCAAGCATGTCTGTCAAGATTTTAACAATATCTAATTAGATTAGATGGATAAATAATATATAAATAGAATAGAGCAATAATTTGTTAATAAAAGCTTTAATCATGTATTATACTTAAGACAGTTTTTAGGTATAAACGCTTTAAGTTAAAAAGTTGAATGTTCCAAGTTTTAAGTTGATTCTAGGTAACAGAGGGAGTTGATGTCGCTTTTTACTCTTTTAAATACTTTTCTACAAATTACAGAATAAAAATGCATCATAAAAACATCAGTTTACAAATGTTGATGAAGAATTTAGAGTTCTAACGAGCTAAAACCTGAAACTAGAAATAACAGATAATGTTCCATTTTCATTTTACTGGTCATTCTAATCCACAACAATATATTATTCTTTCATAAAGATTGCTTTTGCCTTCAAACCTGTGAAGAAACAGTGATTACAGCAGAAACTCCTGCTGTGTGTGAACACGTTTTCTGGGTGAAATCGCAGTAAGGGATTTTTTATAGTGTTGAGGAAATGGGGCAGCTCACAGCAGTGAAGCGAACTTTGCTTTTGTTTTATGGCTACGAGCTGCTGGTGCGTTGACGCCCAGTCATCGCTTTGTTTGCTTGGGTCTGCAGTCGCTTCTGCTCATCTGACGTTAGCCGGGGGGGCGCAGAGAAACTTGGATTTTTATTTTTCTCCAAGCTTTTCCCTTCTTACCAGAGATGTCTAGGTACCACAAAGCAGCGATTGATGGATACGTGGAACTCTTGAAGGAGGCCACGGTGAAAGACCTGAACACGCCAGATGAGGATGGCATGACTCCCACCATACTGGCTGCTTTTCATGGACATATCAGTGCTCTTCAGCTCATATGCAGCAGAAAGTAAGTTTTCTATCGCCTGTCCTTCATCTCACATCTTACACTGAGACAAAAACGACCTGAACATATGAGTTCTCGTCAAGTGTTTTCTTCAGGCTGTGTAATTTTTCTGTCATTTCTAAAGAAAACATACAGTTAGACATAAAATCTTTTCATTTAAATACATTATATTTTATAAAACCAAATAAGATTAAGATCTCACAGAGCAAAGGTTGACCAGCATGAAATAAAGTGTGTTTTATGCTTTCTCATACGTACTTTGTTTGTTTTTGGCACTTCATCTGGATTTTTTCCACAGCTATTGTTCACTCCATTTTAATGAGCTAAGACTTTATTTCCCATTAGCTGAGCCAAAAGTTTAACCAGCCCAATCCATCCCACAAAAACAAAAGAGCTGTTCATCCAGGCCGTGCCACCACCACCACCACCACCGCTACTCCACATGTACCTCCGTCCCTCTTTCACTACAACCAAGACCATACAAAATCAAGACCATACAGACTTTTGAGATTCAGAGAAGTTTAGTTTTATTTGATTTATATTTCAATGGGCATAAAGCGTATCTTGTCTACGTGGCCAGGATTATCTAAACCATTTCCTCTTTGGTCATTACGCAGCATGAACTGGGATTTATGACAAGGTGTAGCAGTCACACAGCAATCAAAACTTGACAGGGGGCAGCAGTAAAAGGACTTTAAGTCTTAATAGCTCACCAGTTAACTTCACCCATCTTTAATTTGTCATATGCTAGATTTGGATGTGGATCTATTCTCTGTTTTAATTTAATTTCCTGGACTGATCCTGGACTGACATTTTTTTAAATGTCATTTTTTATCATTTAATCATTTTCTCTAAACTCATGAAAAAATACTGTGCATGGAGTTTGGTATAAATCAGGAATACAGAATAGCCAAATAATGAAAATATCATCACTAATGATAAAAAATATTTTGTGTGTGTTCGTGTTGTACAGAGGAGATCCCAACAGGAGTGACATCTGGGGAAACACACCCCTGCACCATGCAGCAGGTAACGGCCACATGCACATCCTCAGCTTCCTGGTCAACTTCGGCGCCAACCTTTTTGCTCTGGACAATGAATTCCACACGCCAATGGATGTTGCCGCTTCACGCGACCACATGGAGTGTGTGCGCTTCCTCGACGCTGCTGCTGCAAAGCAGACCAACCAAAATCCGAAAAAGGTCGCCAATCTGAAGAAAGAGGCAGAAAAAGAGGCAGAGAAACGCGTGAAACTCTGTGAGAAGGTGAAGAAAAAACACAAAAGCAAAATGGATAGAATGCAGCGTGGAAGCAACTCCGGCTCCTTTTCAGATGCAGGAACGGCATCGTCACTGTCAAACGATGGCACCATCACGGGCGTCAACGAACACTTCTCCAAGCTCATCACTGACGATAAAGTTGGCTCTATTAAAGGCACACTCCTGAAGAAGTTTGGGAAGAAGGACAAAGGCACGCTGCAGAGGTCAGAAGGAAGTGGGAACGTTATCTTCCTCAAACCAGAGAGCGGATCTGAGAACCCAGACTTTGTGGACGTCTTCAACGAGCAGGAAGAGAACATGCTAGAAGAAATGGACAGCTTCGGAGATGACGACGACGATGGAGGCCAAGTGAAACAATCCATCTTCAATCGGCCCGGCCTTGGAGGTCTGATGTTCAGGAAGAAGATGGGGCTAGACTCTGACGACATCCCCAGCAGTGCCAATGAAAGCCTTGGTTACCTCGTTCAAAGCGAGACGTTTGAGGCAGATGAAGACACCTCGGGTATGATGACGGGCGACAATGCACTGCCGTGGGAACAGGAAGATCTGGGACTGGATGATGATGAAGATGAGGAAACCTCTCCTTTGGATGTGTTCCTGTCCTCTATCTCCTTGCCAGATTTTACGCCCGCATTCAACAGAGAGCACCTTGACTTGGAGGCACTCATGCTTTGCTCTGATGAAGACCTCAAAGGGATCCGCATCCAGCTCGGACCCAGGAAGAAGATCTTAGAAGCTGTTGCTCGCAGAAGAAAGGCGCTGGAAAATGCAGGCGTCATGAAGGACAGCTCCTTGTGATCTGAAACAAAAACAGTTATTTATCCTCCAAATTTAAAATAAGCCTTTTGTCAGTTCAATTTCTGTATAAAACAAACATGATTCAGCAAACTAGTGAAAAATTCCAACATTTCTACAGATTGAACTTTATTGATCATATTATGACAATATGTTCCGTGTATACCTGTTATATCAAGTTAAAAGTGGCATGGCAGCATCAACCAACAATATCAACAATATCTTATACATCTGGTTTTAAAACAAGAGAAGAAAAGAATAATTATGGGAAGAAAAATAAAGAATAATAAATAATAAAGTGTTGGTATTGACCTGCTGGCTGACTTTCTCCACATATGAGGTGATATGGCACACAGATGATTTGCTTGTGCAGCTGAATGTTTTATTGTACTCATGTCGACCTCAGATAACACACCTGTTAAATAAACAAAACGTACATGCACGATAGTCTCTCCAGTTTAATATTTCCCAATGGGTTTTAAAATTTCCCTGACAGGAACAACAGCTGCTACGAACACAACAAAAAAGAGAGGAAAACAAGCACAGGAGCCACTAAATGACTCACAGCAAATACAAGCAGGCAGGCTAAAACTGGTGAACTAGTAAACACAATGGAGTGACCTGAATAGAATAGAATAGAATAGAATAGTCCTTTAATTGTCCCACAAGGGGAAATTTGGTTGTAACAGCAACACACACATACACAAAAACAAAAAAACAACAACAAAAAAACAAACAGAACAGGACACAGGACATTGAACAGAAACACACACATTTTTTTTCATGGATAATAGTTACTAAAACAGAGTACTGTACAGTTATTAAAATTAAAGTACAGATAAGTGGCAAACCCAGGTTGTAGTGTGCAAACAGAGCAGGATACTGCAAGATGTTTAAATAGTTAAGAATATTTAGAATAATTAGAAAAGTACAGATTGTGCATTGTACCTGTGCATTAAAAAGTACACATGTAACTTACAATAAGTTAGTATATATAAATTGAGAAAAAGTAATGTGCAAGTTATAAAAGTAGTATTTGTTCGGTTGATTGGTGCAAGTTACAGCGCTGATGTAAACATCTATGTTTGTTGAGAGCAGTTTTGATTGCACAGTCTGACAGCTGCAGGGAGGAAGGACCACTGGAAACGCTCCTTCTTGCATCTAAGATGCAGCAGTCTGTCACTGCTCACCAGTGAGTGTATATACAAAGAGCACCGATTAAAGTACATGAAATATTTAGGAGGAGGTGAAAAAAGGGACACACACACACACGAAAATGACGTGATATTATTCACGAGAGATGATTTTGACATGTTTCACAGATTGTAGGCCAATAAGTCATTTGCAACAGTTTGCATACACTTTTTAGAAAATACCGGAAATCATATTTTTTGGCAAACGATCAGATTTTGCAAAAAAGTAGGGAAAAATTTGTGTGTCACTCTTTGATGAACAAACAAAGCAGGAACTACATGGGGGTGAACACTCTTACGTTTGCCGGGTGTGTGTGGGCGTGGCTTGCAGCGAGAGGCGTTGCTCAGGACTGCCGGAAGCTGGTTTGGTTGGTATGTGGGAGAGCGAGTAGTCCTCCGCAGCAGTCACGACTATGTGTAACAGGTGAGTTGTTTTGGTCCCTCCGCTGCTGAGTGATTAATCTCACCTGTGTGTGGCTCGCATATCTGTTCTTGAGCTGTCTGAGTAGTCTGGCTCGGCACAAAGCCGCTTCTTTTGGCCGCTGCCTCACAGCTAAGCCTCATTAGTGAGACAATCTCGGGTCCTCTCTCCCCGCCTTGCTTTGCAGCCTTCTGCGACTTACACGCATTTCACTTTCAAATGAGTGCTTTCCGAGGCTGATTTGCGTTGCCAGCTATGTCTCAACCCGTTTTCTGATTGTCTTAGTTTGCGTTCAAGAGTGCTAACTGTGATATTTTGCCTCCCAGGCTTGGGTTGCAATGGCAGACATGGCTGAAATAATCTCTGTCAGCGCCGGTTTGCTCCTGCCTTCCTCTATCAACGCCACCGTTAAGGTCCAGGAGGAAGCCAGCCCGACTGCTGCCGTTGTCCCTGCTCCCCAGAACAGCGAGGACTACCTGTTTGTGGAGACCAGGCACCCCAACACAGTCCTGCAGGGCCTCAACAGCCTGCGGCTCAACAACGCCTTCTGCGATGTGACTCTGTGCTGCGGAGGACAGGAGTTCCCCTGCCACCGCATAGTGCTGGCATCTTTCAGCTCCTACTTCCAGGTAAACGCACTTTTCCTCACAGGTATGTCCGTACTGAAAACGACTCCACCTTTAGAATCATGTGTTTTCCTTCTCCATCCTTAGGCGATGTTTTCCGCTGACCTCATAGAGTCCAAGCAGGAGCGTGTTGCCATCAATGGTGTTGAGCCTCAGATGATTGGCATGCTGGTGAGCTACGCCTACACATCTGAGGTCTACATTTCCAAAGCCAACGTGCAGGTAGTGAATCTTCTCATGCCTCTTCATTGCCGTCATTCGTGAAGCGCGTGCGTGCTTAGAAAGTGATCTGTATCCAGGCGCTGCTGGCAGCAGCCAACCTGCTGGATGTGATGGCAGTCCGAGAGGCCTGCTGTCGCTTCATGGAGCGTCAGATGGACGAGATGAACTGTGTGGGGATTCACTGCTTTGCTGAGGCGCATTCCTGTAAGGTGCTGGAGAAACGCAGCATGGACTACATCCTTGAGCACTTCAGCACGGTCTGTCAGCAGGTGAGGGTGTGATGGAAACCCAGAGTAGGGAGTCCTGAAGGAGGTAATCTTGTATCACCTACTGTTAATGCAAAGCTGTGCCCTCACATAAATAATCAAACTCTCGGCGCTTCCTGTCTTCCTCCAGGAGGAGTTTCTGTCTCTGTGTGTGGACAAGCTGACGGAAATCCTTGCCAGCGATCTCCTCAACGTGCCCAAAGAGGAGACCGTGTTTGAGGCCGCCATGCTGTGGTTGAATAAATGTTCCTCTCGCAAACAGAGCTTTGAAAAGGTGAGAGGAGAGTCATTAGCAGGTAATTTCAGGCTTATCTTTAAAAATAAAAGGGGGGGTTCATACATTTTTGTTGTTTGGTGCTATCCTGTTATCAGGGGCGCCATACTCCATGAATGAAAATCCATGACCACAGCAGCTGCTCATGAGTACCACCCATCAGATCCCTTTCCATTTTTGTTCCTCAAAGGTCCTGGAGCACATCCGCCTGCCTCTCATCAGCCCCTATTACCTCCATGATGTGATTGAGTCTCTGGACGTGGTGAAGGAGAGCCAGGTCTGCCAGAGGCTCATCTCTGAGGCCAAGGACTATCTGCTGCTTAAGGACCGGCGTGGAGAGCTCTACTGCCCGAGAGCGAAGCCTCGCAGGTCCACTGGTAAAAATAAAAAAACACTCACGTCTGAATCAAAGAGTTAATTTTTAGCTTTGCACTATTTTCTGTCAGCCTGGTGATTTGTTAGTGTGTATCTGTCTCCCCGTCCTCATACTCCGCAAGGGTTTAAGAATGCTCGGCTATTCAATGGAGAGACGATTATTTGGGTCTATCTTCTTCTATTAGAAGAAAGATTTTGGATTCCAGGTTTTTAGATGTTTGCTGGTTTTCCCGGTTTGTGTTATCAAACTGTGGACCGAACAGTTTTAACCTAATCCAGATGCAAATCAAGAGAATAGTGGAAGTTGAATATTAGCATACAGGCTGCTTTTTTTCTTTTACATTAACATATGTGGCTCACTCCTCTCTTCCTCTACTCCTGTTGCCACGGAAACAGGAACCGCTGAAGTGATAGTCACAGTTGGCGGGGAGGACGACAAGGTGGTGCTGCGCAGCGTCGAGAGCTTCGATCCTGTGACGAGCCAGTGGAAGAACCTGGCATGCCTGCCCTTCGCCGTGAGCAAACACGGGCTGGTGGTCTCAGGTGAGGGGGTCAGTAAAACTCAGCCTGATGGGTTAAGACACTCTGAAATGCACAGATAAACTTAAGTGCTGAAAATGTATACTTCTGCTTATCCAATCACCTTTCTTCCTTGTCCCCGCCTGTAGATTCGACCCTGTATTTGGCAGGTGGAGAGTTTCCCGACGGCTCAGCCAGCAGAGAGATGTGGCGCTACGACCCCTGCTTTGACTCCTGGATGGAAATGGCACCCATGAATGTAGCTCGCTCGGAGTTAGGTGAGGGAGTCTTGGTAATTACAGCTTCTGTCTTTCAGCCACGTTACCTGTTGACCTACGGTACGTTGACCTACGGTAATGAGCATCTGTCGTTGTAATGGTTAATGAAAACATGAAAATTAGACCGGGGCATGAGATGTCCAACTGTAAACTGAAGGACGGTTTTTAATAGCAACAATGTTTATTTATCCGCTGTGCCTTCTCCCCACAGGCCTGGTGATGCTTGATGGCTTTGTGTACGCAGTGGGAGGGTGGGAGGGACGCTCACGTCTGGACTCGGTGGAGTGCTACAACCCCCACACCAACTCCTGGCAGTTTACGGAGTCTGTGAAGATGGCCGTCACAAGTCCAGCAGTGGTGGCTCTGGACGGCCTGCTCTATGTTACTGGTAGAAAACGCAGGTTTTTACATGTGCAGGGTTTTTTTTTGTTGTTGTTCATTTTGATTCTATGTGGTGTATTTATTCACTCGGGATGTGTCACGGCAGGTGGTGCGGTCCTAGAGGATGGTGACGGCACAGATCTGGCACAGGTGTACAACCCTAAAACGGCAGTATGGACAGAGGTCGCCCCCATGCAGATTGCCCGCTCTGGATCAGCTGCTTGTACTCTTAAAGGAAAGATTTACGTCATAGGTAACAAACTTATCATCCAGCCCATTAACTGTGCTTTGTTCTGGTTCCTAAAAGTGCAGTCATGTCTGTTAAATCCTTTTTTTGTAGGCGGGTGGCATGCCTCGACAGAGAACACAGATAAAGTGGAGTGTTACAATCCAAAGACCAACCAGTGGACGATGTGTGCCCCCATGAAGGAACGACGCTATCGGCCCGGCGCTGCTGTCGTGGATGGCAAAATCTACGTCTTGGGAGGAGAAGAGGGTTGGGACAGGTGAGGAGCTTTCTAGAAAAGACGTTGCCTGTAAATTTCGTGTTTTCCAGGCGATTGCAGAGCTCACATTTATTTGAAATATTAAGAAAATGAGGGTTAAATTCCTGTGGATTAAACACAGGAGAGGTCAATGAGGTTGTCTAAAGCTGATCCCGCTCTGCGTGCAGATATCACGACACTATCGAGAGGTATTGTGACGAGACGGA